TGTCTCTGGAGCCCGTCCCTCGGGCCCCTCGCCCGCCCAGCCTGGAGGCAGGCTCCAGGGCATCCGTGCCTGGCCAAGCTGGGGGGCGTGGGGTGACCTCAGGGAGTTCCTGTCCACATGCATTAAGGCAACGACTTTGTAAAAGCCAGGCGGAGTTGGCGTGGGGCGTATGGGGGAGTGCACGCACCGCCTGGCAGCCCCGGGGACCGGCCCCTCCTCACTGGCACCTGGCCGAGAGTCAGATGCTGGGACCTCTCAGGACAAGCCACTGGCCAGACCCAGTGTCCTCGGCCAGCCAGAGCCACCACAGCAAGTGTCCAAGGCCAGAGTGCACTCAACCCCACCCCACGAATGCCTTTTCAAACAGAACAGGGCCCTCCCTCCCAAGCGGCCCCTTCCAGTCCCTCCTCCTCCACCATCTCCAACAACCTCCCCTGTGACATCACCTCTCCCGGGGTCAGTCCCACCCTTACAAGACAGCAGAGTTGGGCAAACCGGGACCTTCACCCGCCCACGCTCCCAGGGTCACGGAAAGCCTCTCAGTGTGCTCAGCTTCTCCAGGCCTCCCTTGGCCCCAGAGTCCGTCATCCCAGTTCCTTCAGGAAGCCCTCCCCCGACCCCAGCTGTCTCTCCTGCTCCTTGGCGCTGTGCTGGGGCTGAAGTGGAGCCTGCGCCCCTGGATGGGAACGTGGGACGGCTGGCCTGGCACAGCCACACAGGCTCCCCGGGCAGCCCCCAAGTGTCCTGCCCAGACCTTTTCACCCCACCCTCATGCCCTGGACATGTGGCCTGGGAGCTCTGCGTGGGTGCGGGAGGCACTGGATGGGGTCAGGGGACACCCGGGCACTGAGCGCCCACAGCTCAGAGCTCAGTCCCTGGCCAGGCACCCTCCACGCAGGCCCCGCCTTCTGAGTGCCCCTCCCACCCCACGTGTGGTTCAAGGGTTTGTGCCACTGGGGCTGGGTGGTGTCAGCTGTGACCTTCCCAGCGCCCCCGGCCTCCGCTCTGTAGCATTCACAGCTCAGGGCAGTGGGGACAACACGGGCATTTCTGCAAAGCTGTGCCAGCTCCTTCAGCTCCTTGGTTTCTGGGAAACAACCAGAAATAGCTCAGGGCCCAGCTCTTTCCAGAGAGAAATGGGGGGTCCTTTACAGGGTCCCTGACTGTGGGGACCAAGCCCAGCTGGAGTCTTCGTCCCCTTCTCTCCAGCAGCAGGGTCTGGAGCCTAGAAACACGGAGACCCCCAACCTGACGGGAGTGGGGTCGTCTTGACACAGTCAATGTTAAAATGCATGGGCGCTGGCTGCAGCTCCCCTCTGGGCGGGGCCCAGGGCGATGAGACCCACAGCTCCGACAGTGCCCCCTGGAGAAGCCCTCACAGTGCCTGAGGCGACTGCAGCCTCCAAGTGGGGGCTTGAGATGAGGCCCCCAAAAGGGAGGAACACGGCTGAGGGGCGGCGTGTCCTCCGGTGGGGCATGTCAGGCACCTGCCACGCTCGGACCTGTGTGTGGGAGGCGTGGGAGGGGCCTCCCCCAGCGTGTCCCAGCTGTGGTGGCAGCCGGAAGATTCACGGACTGTGATTTTACGCAGACAAGAGAGGGAGAAGCTGGGCCGGCCAGGGAACCTTGAGGGGCGGCAGCACCTGCCAGGGCCAGGGCCTGGGATTCAAGGCTGGGCCACACTTTCCAGGAAGGAATGGGGAGTGGCCAGCACCTCCAGGGCAGACCAAATGCAGGACCCACCCAGAAACCCATACGGACGCCAGGGCGTCTTGGCTTCCGGCAGAATCCCTCCTCTGGATAGCCGCCAGGCTGTGGGGGGACAGGCAGTGTGAGACTCTGATTGGCCCCTGCCTGGACCTCTGCCACTGCGGGCCAGGAGCTCAGACAGTGGGACTGCCGACCATAGGACCCCAAAACCACAGTGACTCCTTCTGACTCCTCCCTGGGCAGCTTAAACCCAGCAGGGTCAAAGAGAAAGACCAGAGACAGAAGGGCAGGGAGTGTGCACACACGTGTGTGAGAGTGAGCGCGTATGTGTGCCCTGTGTGTGTGCCGTGTGGTCTGTGTGCTTGAGTGTGCACGTGCATTGCATGGTCTGTGCACACGTGTGTGTGCTGTCTGGTCTGTGCATGTGTGTATATGTGTGTACTGTGTGTGGTCTGTACATGTGTGTGCTGTGTGATCTGTCTAATGTGTGTGCACAGGTGTGGGTGTGTGCATGTGTGGTCTGTGACCATGTGTGTGCATATGTGAGCATGTGTAAGCGTGCATGTGTATACCTGTACGCAGGCATGTCTGTGCATGTATGCACTGTGCATGGTCTATACAAGTGTGTGCACATGTGTGCTATGTGATCTGTGCAAGTACATGTACATGTAAGCATGCGTGTGTATGCCTGTATGCAGGCGTGGGTGAGCACGTGTGTGCTGTGCATGGTCTCCTATGTGCATGTGTGTAAGTATGTGTGTGCATGCTTGTATGCATGCTTGTGTACACGGGTGTGTCCTGTATGCTTTTGTGCATGTGTGGTCTATCAGGGTCTTGTGTGTGTGCGTGTGTGTAAGCATGCATGTGTATGCCTGTGTGCAGATATGTGTGTACACGTGTGTAGGCATGTGTGTATGCCTGTATGCATGCATGTGTGCACATGAGTGTTGTGCGTGGTCTGTACACGTTTGTGTGTGCGTGTTAGCACGCATGTGTATGCCTGCAAGCAGGTGTGTGTGAGCCAATGGCATGTGAAGATGTGCAACCTAACAAACATCGTGGGAGCTCTTTGCCATGAGGTGGCACTGGCCCTTGGCCACGTTTGGTCACACAGACCCCCGAGCAGCATCGCACCACCTCCAGCCTCCTTCCTGCTACACTTCTCCGAGGTGGGGCCCGGGCAGCGGGTGGCTCCCCTGCTCAGACTAGAGTCCGGGGGATCCCAAGACAGAGCGTCTACCCTGTTGTCTCCCAAAAACAGGGCCCTTAACCAACCCAGGACATGCACCCTCCATCTTCCCAGGACCCAGAGACTTTCCAGGGGACGCGCCACGTGCTCCTTGCTGGACATGAGTCTAGCCCCAGTCCCTCCTGCTGGGCAGCAGGCTTCTGGGAGGGAAGGGATGGACCTGTCCTCCCCTGCTACGGAACCCCCACCTGTGCCCAGGTGCTCATGCCTCCGAGGCTTTGCGGAGGAAAGAGCAGGTAGGCCATGCCTGGGAGGGGCACACAGCACAGCCTCCCTCGGCTCCAGGTCTCCCTTCTCCAGGGTGCTGGAGCCCTGGTGGCTGAGACAGAACTGGAGGTGTGGGGAACAGTGGCTGGGGCTGGGGCTGCGTGGGGTGGGACTCACTCATACGCCTGCCTGTGGGCCCCGCTGCGGATTCCCTGTCCCACGACGGGAAGGCAAAGGGACATGGACCCAGGACTCTAATCAGCCAGTGGGAGATGGCAAGGGCACCACCCGGGGAAATGCAGCCACGGTCTCACCAGAGGGGACACAGGGCCCGAGGCCTCACACACGCTGCCTTTGGGAACAGAGCAGACAGCCCATGGGAACCTGGACAGTGGCTTCTGAGTCCTCCCAGTTGGCACCTCTTTGGGATGGGCAGATGCACCCAGACAGTGGGGCCTGGGAGTGTCCTGGCCGGGCTGGAGTACGCACAGAGGCCAGGGCAGCAGCCCCCCATGATGGACGCCAGATATGGCTCCCCAAAGACTCAGCGCCGGGACCCCCGCCTGCCAGGGGCGTACGACCTTCAGATGCTTCTAAGTCCTTCCCCTCAGGACGGGGTCCCTGGCTGACCTCAGGGCCCCAGGACCTCCCAGCCCAGCCAACTGAACTTAAAACAAAGGTGGAGGAGGAGCATGCCAGCGCCCCTCCGCACCTGCTGTTTGTGGTATTTCTGCTACAACTCCAGCCCTGCTCACTCCCAGGGAGCCCAGGCCCTCCTGTGACGCCATCACCCCAGATGCCAGATGCTCCTGGGCTCAGGTGCTGAAGCCTGGAGCTAAGGGCCCGCTCCACCTCTCAGTGGCTGCCTCCAGGGCCACAGTGCCCACAACTGGAGGGACATGGGATGATGCGTCCCTGAGACCCAAGACGCCAAGAGGCCCCACTAAGGGACTGGTCAGTGGAGGAGAAGGGGCAGGCAGCTCCAGGGGGCAGGAGAGCCAGGGAGGGCCCTCAGCTGGCAGAGGCAGAAGTGGCTTCGTCCGGGAAGGCAGGGAGGGAGGCCTGTGCTGGCCATGTGGGCGTCCAGCGGGTGTGGAGGCTTTCCCGGCCTGTGGCGTCAAGGCCTTGCCCTGCCCAGGTCTGTCGGGGCATTGGTGGGCACAGGCGAGGTGGGGCCCTGGCGAAGGACCATGAGGCCTGCTCAGCAGGCAGCACCCGGCCAGGGCAGTCAGGAGAGAGGAGAGGACTTGGGGTCCTGACCCTCAGGTCTCCAAGACTGGGGTGCTGCTGGCTCTCACATGCCCCAGGAGAGCCCAGGGTGAGGTGACAGGAGCCCCCAGGGCCCCCTTTCCGAAGATGCTGCAGAGCTCGGCCCTCCTATAAAGGCCGAGCTCAGAGGGTGAAATGTCCACTCTGGGCTCCAGTTTGTTCCCAGGCCCCACCCATTCCTCAGCTGCGGGCAACGGCCTCCAGCTCAGGGCTGGCTCCCATCAAAAGACCCTCAGATCCCAGAAGGTGCAGGGAGAAGGGAGAAGACAGCGACCAGAGCTTTGTTGTTGGGCTCCCCAAGGTGGGGGACAGGAAAGACTGCAGGTGTGAGGGCTGGCCACGCCCACCTGCAGCCGACCAGAAACCCCGCCAGGCCCCACGGCCCACAGGCCCTCGTGGGGCCTGCCCCCCAGGCTCTGCTCCCTGAGCCCACCTCCCGCCCTGGCACCCCCGGCCTGCCGCCACGCCCGCCACACCCTGTCATCCCTCCTGCCCTCCTCACGCCAGCGACGAAGTCCACTGCAGCCCTGAGCCGAGCGGACAGGGCGGCCTCGCTGCTCCACGCTGCTCCAGAGCCACGGGGCCCTGCCCGGCCCTCCAGCCCCTGTTGGAAAATAGCTTTTGTGAAAGTTCACTGTCAGGAGCCCCGTCCTTCAGCCCACACGGGCCCCTCCAGGGCCTACTTCCCCGCCACACCCAGTTAATATAAGAAAAGGGCCCCAGGGGGTTCCCGCCTCAAAACCTCAGAGGCAGGGCGCTGGGGGGCCTCACTTCCTGGGCCCGGCCCAGCCCACGTCACCAAAGGGGCCCTCGCCGGTGGCGGAGCGTGGCGGGGGCCCGCACGGGGTGCAGAGGTCCGAATCGGTGTCCGACTCGCCCTCCGCGATGTAGGGCCTGACTTTGGCACAGGGCGCCACAGCCGCGTAGCAGCTGTTGAGAGCGTCTAGGTTCTCCTTGGACTGGGAGATGCTGAAGCCACTGAAGGAGCGCTCCAGCTCCTCGTGGTCCACGGACGGGATGGAGATGGACGTGTCGCTGTCCCGCAGGGCCCCCTCAGGGGGCCGGCAGCCCGGGGCGTCCTCCTGCCGCAGGAACTCCGTGCTGGCGCGGTTGCCCCCGCCGTAGGCGGACAGGGACCGCTCGTGGGTGGGCGGCGGCGGGATGCGCACCAGGGAGCCGTGATCCCCCACGGGGGAGGTGCCGTGGCCCGGGCGTGGGTGGCTCTGCGGCTGCCAGGAGGTGGAGGGCGGGCACTGGGCGGGGGGCACGGCCGGGGGCGCCGAGAAGTTCTTCTGGCCGGTGGAGCTGCTGGAGCGCACGATCTTGACGATGCAGCCGTGCCTGTCCACGTGCTCCCTGCTGTCTTCCGGGCTGTGGTACGGCGGCGCGGGCTCCGGCTCCTTGGCCCCGAAATAGGCCTCAGTCTCCGTCGGGGGGATGCCCATGCGCTGCATGTAGATGTTAACCAGGAAGTCCAGCTTCTTCTCCATGGACAAGACCTGCAAGACGGGCGGCTGGGCTGCGCTGCTGGGGCCAGTCCCAGGAGAGGGAGCACCCGGGCTGCTCTCAGGAAACGAGGGGCCCGGGCTGCTCCCAGGAGATAGGGGAACCCAGCCTGGTCCCAGGAAACGGGGGAACCCAGGCTAGTCCCAGAAGATTCAGGAACTGATGCTGCTCCCAGGAAACGGGAGACCAGGGCTGGTCCCAGGAGGTGGGGGGACCTGAGCTACTCCCAGGAAATGGGGGACCCAGGCTGATCCTAGGAGATGGGGGGACACGGGCTGCTCTCTGGAAAGGTGCGGGGGGAGGGGGGAGGGGGACCCCTGCTTCCTAGAAGCTGGAGAAACCAGAGAGGAGGCACAGGAGCAGCTCCTGCTCCTTCCCAGACCCCCGGGGCTCAGCCTCCGGCTCCACCCGGACCTGTGTTCAGAGCCAGGCCCTCCTGCTGCCCACCAGGGAACCCCCTTCAGTGAAAACCCCACCGGGCAGGACCTGACGGTTCCTCACTCACTGCTCAGGCCCAGCTCTCAGAGGCAAACCCCGAGACAAGCGTCCTGAGTGGTGGCTTCTGGGAATGCATCCCCAGTAGAGAACGGCTGAGGTGGAGGGCAAGGAGGACAGAGAGGAGGAAGGCCGGGCAGGTGCAACGAGACCCCGAGGACCCGCCTCCCGGTGACCCCCACTCACCAGCACGCCCCACAGGAGATCCCAAGGACCCGCCTCCCGGTGACCCCCACCAACTGGCACCCCCACAGGAGACCTCGAGGACCCGCCTCCTGGCGACCCCCACCCACCGGCACCCCCACAGGAGACCCTGAGGACCCGTCTCCCAGCAACCCCCACCTAGAACTCCTGGGTACTTTGGGCGTTCGGTACTGTCAGGAGGGAAGGCACCCTAGGCTGGGAGTGGGGGGCTCACGGGGGATGTGAGGGGTCTGCCCAGAGCAGCTGTCAGTGGCGACAGGGCCATGTGCCCCGTAGACTTGAGGAGCCCTCCTGTGCAGGGACTCCTTGGGGTACCCAGCCCCTGAAGCCCATGCTGCCACCAGCTAACCACAGGGGCCCCGGGACAGCAGCACCACAGCCCCGGCCCACAGCCCTCCCGCCCAGCCGACCTCTCGCACCTGCTTCTCCACCTTCCCGAGCCGTCCCATCATGCTGGGGTCCTCGGGCAGCTCCGCCTCCGCCGGGCCCTTGGTGCGGTCCTTGTCCGTGATCGCTGGGCCCCGCCCCACGATCTGGTCCACTCTACCGGGAACAGAGACCCCAAAGCATGAGTTTGGGTGAGTGCAGCAGGCCTTGCCCTCTTCTCCTGGGCCAGACCATGGTGCCCGGGGTCCAGGCTGCAGGCCCAGCCAGAGCCGACCAGGGGGCAGCAGGTGCCAGGATAGACGGATGGGGTGCGCCCTGTCCTCAGCCGCCTTCTGGCACTGCGAGGGTCTGCTCCTGCCCGCTCCGTCCCCGAGGGGCCTGGCACATTAGGAGGAGTAAAGTGAGGAAGCTCCCACTGGGCCAGGCCGCCGGCTGTCTCCGAGGGCTCCCACTCCACGCCGCCCCTCCAGCCGGCCCCACCTGCTCACCCGCTTCCCTGCCCAAGGCCCGTTGGCCCCATAGCCCACGGAGGCCCAGAGGGACTCCCACTGCAGGGCCCCTCCCCTTGCCCACACCCAGCCCCACTCCGCGCTTTACTCCCGTAATGTGCCACTAGGGCCGTCGGCCCCTCCAGGTCTGATGGGGACAGAGTTAAGTGTCTGCAGCGGGAATGACAGAAGCAGAAAGGCGTGAGCAGCGGCTCATGCACCAGGACGAGGAGGGAGGGGCACAGACAGCACAGGAACCAACGCACAGACCAGAGGAGAGCAGACAAAGCGGCCAGGGTCTGTGTGTGCACGTGTGTGCGCTCAGGGTACGTGTGTGTACTCATGGGGTGCATGTGTATGCTCATGCAAGGGTGTGTATGCATGTGTGTGTCCTCATGCGAGGGTGTGTGTGTACATGTGTGTGCTCAGGGTACATGTGTATGTTCATGTGTGTGCATGTGTATGCACGTGTGTCCTCGTGAGGGTGCGTGTGCATGTGTGTGTGCTCAGGGTGCATGTGTGTGCTCATGCGAGGGTGTGTGTGCATGTGTGTGTCCTCCTGCAAGAGTGTGTGTGCACGTGTGTGTGCTCAGGGTGCATGTGTGTACTCATGGGGTGCATGTGTGTGCTCATGTGAGGGTGTGTGTGCACGTGTGTGTTCTCATGCGAGGGTGTGTGTGCACGTGTTCTCATACAAGGGTGTGTGTGCACGTGTGTCCTCGTGAGGGTGTGTACGTGTGTGCTCAGGGTGCATGCGTGTGCTCATGCGAGAGTGTGTGTGCACGTGTGTCCTTGTGAGGGTGTGTCTCTACATGTGTGTGCTCAGGGTGCATGTGCTCATGCCAGGGTGTGTGTGCATGTGTGTGTCCTCATGAGAGGGTGTGTATGTGTGTGTGCTCAGGGTGCATGTGTGTGCTCATGCGAGGGTGTGTGTGCACGTGTGTCCTCGTGAGGGTGTGTGTGTACATGTGTGTGCTCAGGGTGCATGTGTGTGTTCATGCGAGGATGCGTGTGCACGTGTCATGGGGTGCATGTGTGTGCTCATACAAGGGTGTGTGTGCACGTGTGTGCTCATGTGAGGGTGTGTGTGTATGTGTGTGCGCTCAGGGCGCATGTGTGTGCTCATGTGAGGGTGTGTGTGTGTGTGTGTGCTCAGGGTGCATGTGTGTGCTCATACAAGGGTGTGTGTGCACGTGTGTCCTCATGTGAGGGTGTGTGTGTACGTGTGTGTGCTCAGGGTGCATGTGTGTGTTCATGTGAGGGTGTGTGTGCGTGTGTATGCCCAGGGTGCTTGTGTGTGCTCATGCAAGTGTATGTGTGCACGTGTGTGGTCAGGGTGCATTTATGTCCTTATGCAAGGGTGTGTGTGCACTCGGTGCGTGTGACCTCATGCAAGGGTCTGTGTACACATCTGTGTGCATATGTGCACATGTGTGAGCTCAGGGTGTATGTGACCATCCTCATGTTCACTGCACAAGTTAGTGTGTGCACATGTGTACGTGTTCATGTGTGCAAGAGTGTGCATGTTTTCGTATGTGTGTGCAGAATTCAGAACTCAGCTGAGTTGATGTCCACGAGGCCGTAGGTCACTCATGACAGTAAGAAGGGAGGGAGGCTCCTTCACCCTCAGGGCTGGGGCTTCTGACCAGCCTGGCTTCCACAGATGCTGACTGGCTGGGTGTGGGCTCGGACCCGCAGCTCCGTGGGCGCTCACTTGGAAGCAAGGCCCCTGTGGCCAGTCAACAAGCCCAGCTGGACAAGGGCAGCTCCAGACAGGGTGTGGCTGAGCGGGACCCACCAAACGAGGCCACAGCCCCCGAGGCCCCTCTGGATGGAGGCCTGGTGGGAGAAGAGTGCTCCACACCAGCGGACGGGGCCGAGGCCCCACTTCCTGCCACAGGGCCGCCCTACCTGCCTCTGTGGGGGTGCGGGGACGGGTCAGGGGTGTTTTCTTGATTTTTGATTCTGTTGTGGGAAACAGAGGGGGTTTCAGGCTGGTGTCGGCCACAGCGCAGCTCCTCATGCTCCACGGGGCTTCATGCTGGACTCATGCAAAGGGCCAGGGTGGCGGGAGGGGGGTGGGAGGGAACGGATGGCGGAAGGGACCCTCTGGCTCCGAGCAGACGCCAGTGGAAATGGAGGAGACGGGGTCCCTGGCGTTCCCAGCGTCACACAGTCCAGGCAGATGCTCAGCACCTTCGCCCCTGCCACACGACGGGCCGCCCGCCTGCTCAGTCCCGATAGGAGCCCTGGCCATGGGCTCAGCTCCTGAGCTCTCTGAGGACCTGCTGCTCCTGAGGCTCCTCTGAGGACCCTGTGCCCCTCCTGCCTTAGGCCCCAGGCTGGGGGAGACTCGACCCCTGAGTGCTCAGTGCCTGTGGAGTGGGGGAGCATCCACCTGTCCCTCCGAACTCTCTGTGTGACCCTGCACGCCTCCTGGCTGTAGGACCATCCCAGCTCACAGCCCTGGACACCCAGCTGCTGCCCCCTGTGGCAAGGCACAGGAGGACAGACCAGCCTCGGGGCACAGCACCCTTGGGCCTGGGGGCACCACACAGCAGGGAACTCGGCAAACACTGTCCAGGGCAACCCTAGGATGGGCAGCAGCAGGCACAGCCCTGCCTGCTCCCAGAATCCCCCTTCTCGTGGAAGGGGCATAGAGTTGAGATGTCCAGCGCTCGGACCCTCGGCCTCACATGCAGAAACCCCCACAGAGGGAGGAGGGGTCAGACTGGCCCCAGACGCTGCCCCCACCAGCTTAGGCCTGGGCTTCGCTGGCCCAGACACTGGCATCACCATGCCGGGAGCCCCTCTGCACTGAGCTGCCAGGGAGGGCCGGGGCGGCGCCTGTGCTCACTCTCCAGGCCTCCGCCCTGGGGGCTCCGCTCTCCCTCAGCCAATCAGACTTGCTGGAAGACGGGAACAACCATGATCTGAGTGGTCCCTGGGAGGCAGGAAGGCCTTGGAAAGTCTGAATCGCTAAAGAACTGGCTCACATGGGGCTGGGCCGCACCTCCGTTCTGCCCGTCAGCCGGGGTCTCTCCATGTCCCTCATCAGAAACACTAATTAGCGTGCTGACAGCTTAGAAGCTGTGCGAAAACTCACAGAGTGCACGCCTGCCGCTGGGCACCCAACAGGGCTTCCCCACGTATTCTTCCCCGCGGCTCAAGGGCTAGATGCTGTGACCGTCTGTATCTTACAAGAGATGGAAGAGTCAGCGAGACGTGACCACCTGCTCAGAGCCACACAGCGCCCAGGTCCGGGCCGTGCACATGGCCAGGGCCACCCCCGCGGTGGGCAGTGCTGAGGGGCAAGTCAGTCCCGGGGGAGGATGGAGGGCCCTCGGCCAGGAGGCGCCTGTCTAGGGGACAGGGGCAGGGCCAGCAGGATGTCCCTGCACGTCTGACTGCATCTGATCCTGGAGGTGCTGCCCGGGGGCCTCCCAACCCCAGAGGGAAGTCTCACAGAGCCCTGGTTCCCCAGGGCACCAGTCAGGAGCAGCGCTCAGGGCCCCTGGCAGTCCTGACGCCGGGCGCAGCCTGCCTGGGGCCCTGGCGGAGGAAGGGCCTTCTCCCTCATGTTGCTTTGTCAGGAACAGAGAACACCCGGACAACCGTGTGTCCCGGGGAACGGGCGGTGCGGGGTGCTGCCGTCATGTGGCCTGGAGCGAAGGGGCCGGCCGTTCCACAGACACGTCGGGAGAGGCGCTGGCATCCTAACCTAGGTGAGTACTGGGGTGACTCTCTCGGAGGGGCCGTGGGTCCTTTGGTGGGGTACTTCTTGTGCCGGGGAGTTGAAGGGGGTGGGGGACCCACAATCATATCTATCCTGGCAGAGTAAACAAGAAAAGAGACACTAGCAGAATGCATCGTGAAGCCGCACGAGAGGAGTCGGCCAGAAACTGGCGGAAACGGAAGGAACGCCCAACGGAAGCGGCAGAGAGGCTTCGAAAAACAGACGCTTTCCCAGGAAAGCGGGGCGCCGCCTTGGCGGACCTTGGATTTGCCAAGTCCTTCCGTGTTTCAAGCAAAGCGTTGGGCTCGGGAGCGGGCGGCAGGCGGCCCCACCGCGGTGACCCGGGTGCCACGTCCCGGAGCTTGCCGTGCGGGGGAGACGCCGGCAGCGGGAGCCAGTACCAGACGGACCGCTGCAGGCAACATGAAACGCATCGTCCGGAGCTGACAGGACACCTGCGGTCCCTGCGTGGTTTGGTTTGCTTGGTTGGTTTGTTCAGAGAGAAAGGGAAGGAAAATGGAAGATTTAGGACAAAAGATCCTGGTGAACAAGGACAGCTGCAGAGAGAGACGTGGAGGCAAAGCACAAAAGTCAACACGAGAGTGTATGCACACGTGTGCGCGTGCATGCACAGGCACGCACACGCACACACGCAAACACGCACACATGCACGTGAACACATACTAACATGAGCATGCAAACACATGCACACGCACACACGAACACGCACAAGCACACATGCACACCAATACATACTAATGTGCATGCAAACACGCACGCACACACGCAAACACACACATGCACGTGAACACATACTAACACGTACATGCAAACACACGCACATGCACACACACGAACATGCACCTGCACACATGCATGCCAACACATACTAATGCACATGCAAACATAAGCATGCACACACACACATGCACGCAAACACACACTAATACGCATGCAAACATACGCAAACACACGTGCACATGCACGCAAACACATGAACACACACGCACACGCACACACCACACGTGAACATGCACATGCACATGCACACAGGCCTGCAAACTTGAACACACACACACAAACGCACACGCACACAAGCAAATGCACACACGCACACATGCACACACAAATGCACGCACACGCACACGCACACGCACACATGTGCATACACGGGAACATACGCACACACGCACACATGCACGCAAACGTGAACACACGCACATGCTCACACACACACATGCAAACACGCACACGCACACACATGCACACACGCAAAAACGCACACACACATGCACACGGACACTCGCTAACATGCAAACACGAACACGCGCACACGCACATGTAAGTGTGCACACGCACATGTAAGTGTGCACACGCACACACATGCACACTCACACGTGAACACGCACACACGCAACACACATATGCACGCGAACACACTAACACGCACACATACGCGAACACGCACACACACATGTGCACATGCATGAACACACACACACGAACACAGTAAGATGCACACAAACACGAACATACGTGTGCATACACGCACACGTGCATACACGCAAACACGCACACACGCACATGCACACATGCACACAAACACTAACGCACACAAACGTGAACATACACGCACACACACGCACACATGTGCACACACCCACACGCGAACACACACATGCATGCAAACATGCCAACACATACACGTGAACACGCACGCACACACTGAACACGCATGAACACACGTGCACACATGCACACAAACACGTGAGAACACACACATGCACATTAAACACACACGGAAATATGTAAACACATGAACATGCGCATGTGCATGTAAACACGTGAGCACACATGCGCCCATGCACACCCACGCACACCTGCACATGCAGCACAATGCTGACAACTGCTCTGGAGAGGATGCTGGGAAGGAGGCCTCACAACTGGGGCCCGGGGGAGGGGGCGCAGGGGGTGCCTCATTGACCCCTGAACAGCAGGAGGGGGCTAAGGCTGGAGAAACCCCTTCCTGGGCCCCCTGAAGCGGGACGGAGCAGGAGCCCCACACTGGGCCCTGGACCCCCTCAGATGAGCGCTTCACTCCGCTGGAGGCCTGAGCTGGGCTGTGACCCCCAGGGCTGTCCCTGAGCATCTCAGCCTTCTCCCTGTAATGGGGGCCCAGCCTCACTCCCAGGGCTGGGAAACTGCTACAGCCTTGCTTGGGGGCCTGGGAGACGATGGGGACCCTGGTAGGCAGGAGCGTGTCCCCTACTGCACGAGAAACTCCCAAGAGCCGTGTGTCTCCCCCAGGAAAGATACACACACTCATGGCATGTGCTTGTTTGTATGTGCCTGAGGTTGCACACACACCAGCATGTGTATGGTCTTAGGGGACACCTATGTGTGGGCACCAGGCTGGAGCACGGTTGTGTGTGAACACGTGTGGGAGAGGGGACGTGGGTCTGTGTGTGCGCACTGGTACACGCCTGTAGGTGGGGTGCACGTGTGTGGGAGAGGGGACGTGGGTCTGTGTGTGCACACTGGTACACGCCTGTAGGTGGGGTGCACGTGTGTGGGAGAGGAGACGTGGGTCTGTGTGTGCACGCTGGTACACGCCTGCATGTGGGGTGCACATGTGTGCATAGTGTGCCCAGCCCTGACGTGTGTCTCTACATGAATGTACATTTGGCTCCTGGAGTGGGCACAGGGGTTCTCACGCATGGTGCTGGCCCTGCTCAGGAGCGGCCTCCCTTTGCAGGAGAGCAGCGTGGAGGAAGGAAAGGTGCGAAGTGACAGCCGCGGCCTGGCGGGGTCCACCCTGCAGCTTCGTCTCTCAGCAGAATTACTCCACCCCCAACACACACGTGTGCACATGGCAGAGCGCACAGGCCCCAGACGCACACAACCCCACACACACCTGTGCACGTGTGCACTTACACATACGCGCACACACACATTTCAGGGACCCACACATCCGTGCACACACATGTGCATGTGTGCACAAACACGTCACACACTTGCCCGCCGCAGTGTGGATGGGGAGAGGTGGAGAGAACAGAAATATTACAACAGACTTGGAAGACACCACCAAGGCTGACAGATGCCGACATGTGTGGGGAGGCGGCCGCTCCCTGCACGCCCCCTGTGCTCCCACCATGGGCCACACTGGGCTTTGGCGCGACCGCCCACCCCGCTCTTGTCCCCTGCTCCCCTGCTGGACAGGTTGGCGGGGGCCCTTGCCTGGACTGCAGGCTCTTAATGCGGGACAGCATGTCCAGGTGGCCGGCCGAGTACTGCTCAATGACGTCCATCACATCGTAGGGTCGCAGGCTCTCCTTGAACTTCCGCTTGGACACCAGGAACCTCATGACACTGCAGGAGGGGGAGATGACAGTGAGCCCTCGGCCAGAGACCCCGGCCACACGCACCAGGCTGGTCTCATCTCCACCTGCCTGTGACACTGTGGAGGGGGGGACAGTGACCCCTGAGCCAGAGACCCTCGCCACACGCACCAGGCTGGCCCCATGTCCGCCTGCCTGTCGCCTTCCCAGCACCTCTGAGACCTTGGCCCCTGGAGGTGGCTGGACTCACCCCTCTTGTCTGCCACCCACCGGCTCCACGCATGGAAGGGCCTGGCCTCGGGGTCCCTGCTATACCTGGGACAGCTGAGGCTTCCAGGCCTGGCCATGCCCCCTTGGACTCCGTGCCACACCAGACACAGGTGGCTGAGCTGCTTCCTAAGCCAGGCAGAGCCAGGCCTCAGGCCTCGTGCTGAACCGGCGTCCCGCCCGAGGCCCGCTGCAGTCCCGGGAAGACTGGACCCAGGCGACCAGCCAGGCCCACCCGCAGTTTGGCCCTTTATTTTCCGGGCAGACCCCGTCTCCTGGCTGCTGTCCTGCACCAGGAGCACCGCAGCACATGTGGCCATGGACAGGAGACCCCTCCTCCCTCCCCCAGGATCCCGGCTGGGCAAGTCCTCACCACACAGCTCTGATGCTGACTTTGAGGCCCGGAGTCAGGTCCTCAGTCACAAACTCACAGGGGCAGCCCTTGTCATCCACGATGTCCTCTCCAGGGAGGCTTGCTTCTGGGGTGAAGGAGACAGGCCATGAGGGTCGAGAGGGACGGGAAACCCACTCGTGGGATCCTACAGGGCACACCAGCCAGAAAGAACGCCGGAGAGCCCCTCGAGGCTCCCCAGGGTGCCCCACGGGTGCCCCAGCTTTTCCAGAAACCTGTCCCTCTGCATCAGTGGCTCGCGGGCCAGGACCTTCCCCAGCAGGCTGTGGCCACAGGGAGTGGCCGATGTGGGTGTCCAAGGACATCCCTGCCAGTGGCTGAACAGAACACGGCGCTTCCACACGCAGGACGCTAACCGTGGATGTGCCACTCTGACACTGGGCTCAGTGAGGGAAGCCAGAGCTGACAACCCCACGCAGGAGCCGCTGACCTGTGCGCCCGAGACTGCAGGTGCTGGGGCTGAGGGGGGGAACCGGGTGACTGCTGGTGAGCACAGGGTTTTCTTTTGTGATTATGAGAATCTTCTAGAACCAGGCTGAGATGGTGGCGACAACCTCGCTGTGAATGTGCTAAATGCCACTGGATTTCTACACTTTTTTCTTTCTTGAGACGGAGTCTCACTCTGTCCCCAAGGCTCAGGTGCAGTGGTGCGATCTCGGCTCACTGCAGCCTCCGCCTCTCGGGTTTAAGCGATTCTTGTGCCTCAGCCTCCCGAGAATCTGGGACTGCAGGTGCCCGCTACCATGTCCAGGTAACTTTTGCATTTTTAGTAGAGATGGGGTTTCACTGTGTTGACCAGGCTGGTCTCAAACTCCTGACTTCATGATGTGCCCGCCTCAGCCTCCCAAAGAGCTGGGATTACAGGCGTGAGCCACCACGCCTGGCTACACTTTCAAGTAGTTAATTTCATGCTGCCCAAGTTTCACCTCAATTTTAGAAAGTGTGTGGGGGGGGAGGTTTCCACTCCCAGAGCAAGCGAAAGAGGCAGCGATGCCTCAGGTGGCCCTGGTAGCTCAGGCGCCACGATCCAGCCCCAGAGGGGCTCAGTCTCAGATCGGGGGGCACTGAGGAGGCCAGACCCACCTTCTGAGTTCTGCCGAGATGCAGCACCCTTGATGCGGAAAGCCTGGCGTGCCCGGCTGCGGTCCCCGAAGCTCCAGCTCTTGGGCACCTTGCTAGGGCTGTCTTCGAGGCTCTGGTCGGCGCTGGGGGACCGCCGCACCGTCTGGGCCTGCGGGGACCCCTTCCCCTTGGCAGCCACACCTCGGGGGCTGGAGAAGACACGATCTTTCAAACTGACCTTCTGGCTGCTCCCACAGGAACCGACAGACAAACAGAAACACAGCGAGAGAAGTCACTCCAGAGAGAACACAGGCCGTGTCGGCTCTCAGCAGACCCTGCCCACGCAACGGGAGGAAGACCCAGGGCTGAGGAGCAGCCACACAGGCGGCTCAGAGCAGGTGCCACGGGGACCGAGCACCCGGGGGGGAAGGCAGGAGGGGAGTCTGGGCTGGCACTGGTGTGGCCAGAGCTTGGCCATGTCAGGGAGGCGATGTTTGCGGACTCTTAAATCCCGCTCTGCCACCACCACAAGGCGCCAGAGCCCTCCTCACGCTGTCCCACCAGCCCTTCACCCAGTGGCACTCGGGCTGCCCTCTTCTCAGGCGCCTGCGTCTGCCTTGGCCTGTGGTTTCCCCTGTGGCCTTTTCACAGCCGTAACTGCCCCCCGGAAGCAGCCTCCCTCCTCCCCTCCCTCCGCCTGTCCCTCTCCTTCTGCCCAGTCGAGGGTGTGGGAGGACATGGGGGACAGCCAGGACGTGGGGGCCGAGTCTGCAGCGGTCACTGGTGCAGCCACACCCAGGCCTTTCCCAGACGCCGGGGGCCGCCTGGAGGGGTGGGCTTCCGGGGGACTCAGGCCTCCTCTGCACGGCACCCCTCCTGCCAGGGGCGTCTGACGGAGAACTGCTCCCTCAGCTTCTGGAAGGAAGGAATCGAGGACAGGTCCTCTGCCAGCAGGGCCTCAGGCAACAAGCCTCACGGTTGGCGGTTGGAGTCCTGGCCCCAGGGGGCGGGGAGGCAGCCTCTGAGGCCGCCGCACGGTGGCCCGGCGCTCGGCCCTCAAGACGTAAAGCAGGATTTGTGGCTGTGTCTGGCTGGGCCTCCAGCTCCAGATTCTCGGGGGTCCTTGGGGTTGCCTGTCCCCGAGTCTCTTGGTAACCAAGGAGACAGGTCTGCACCCGAGTTCTTCAGCTCCAGTGTCCTCTGGGTGCCAGTGGGGAGGTTGCCACGGCTGGGGTGCCCCAGACTCCAGCATCCTCTGGGCAACAGTGGGGGTGGGGGTTCACTGCGGCTGGCGTACCCCGGGCAGATGTGCCTCCGGAGGTCTGGGAAGCATCAGAGCCTCTAGCTCCCTTGAGGACAGCGGGACTCCTGTGAACTGGGGACCTGTTAACGCCCGCCATGCTCAGCAGCCAAGGAACTTCTCAGGACGGCTCTGGGCCCAGAGCACTGCTCCTGGGGCCTGAGACAAGCCCCTGGGTGGGGAGGCCCAGTTACTCCCTGACGCACTCTAATACCTCCTGGGCTCCGTGGCGGCTCCCCAGCCAACAGTGAGGGGCCAAGGCCCGGGTCAGCAGCCAGCATCGGCCCCCACTGGGACCCACAGCCAGAGAGACACGCCCACCAGACGGCACAGAGAGAACGCGCTACAACGGAGCGCCCATCGCGCCCACCGTGACCGTCCACCGGCCTCCACGCTTCGGGCTTGGCTGCCCTCCCACCCCATCCGCCATGCAGCAGGCGACTGCCCAGACCATGCCTAGACCATCTGTGGCCACTCCGGGGTCTCTGAGAGGAAGAAAGAAGCCCCTGGATGCCGTGCCTGCAGGGGAAGCAGAGACGGAGAGGCCGAGACCCCCAGCCCTGAAGGGTGTGCTGCGGGCGTCTGGAGTGGATGGTACAGGCTCACTCAGGACCCCGGCCCTGAGTCCACGCCCTGCACTGCCCGGGGCCAACACGCCATGCCCATGGGGGCCAGGGGTGCCCCGAGTCCTGGTGTCATGGGGGCCTCTGGTCCCTGACCCAACGGAAGCACAGGTGGCCGAGGAGAACCCGTTGGGGGCCAAGGGAGCACCTGGGCACGGGCTTGGCGGGACTCTGGCTTCTGGAATGTTCTTCTCTCCTCCTCCACCGCACAAGCCATTTCAGAGGTAGGAACGGGCCCCTCCTGGCCCTGCTCAGGCCTCAGGGCAAGTGGGGGTCACTGGAAGACTCAGTTCCGCTCTCCAGGTCTCCACACAGGCAGGTCCAGTCACCAAAGAGAAAGAAGCAGCCACCTCCTTTCCCACGGCCACTGGTGAAGCACCGGGTGGAGGGCGGAGCCATCAGGTCAGCTGCAGCTTCCGGGCTGCCCCTGGCTGGTCTCGGGAGCCTGGTGATGACGGCTTGCAGTGGGGAAGGCGCATGGTGAGGAATCAGCAGCAGATTCCTGCCTGCGGCCTTGGAGGTGACAGGTCAGACACCCATGCGCCACACAGACGTGCGGCCAAGAAGGCGTAGGCCCCGCAGCCGCTGGGAGCTGCAGCGAAGGAGCAGCGTGGTTTCCATGGCCCTGGGCGAGGGGACCCTGCCCGATGCCTGCATCTTGTTTTCCAGTGGGGAATCCCCCGGCCACCACGAGCAGCCACAGCCCCGCCGAGCGGCAGGGACGCCCTGCCAGACCCCATGCCCAGCGCAGCACCGGGGCTCCGGGACGCAGCCCTCATGCACTGCCCCAGCCAACACGGGGGAGCCGCAGGAAGATGGAGCTGGAGGGAAGGAGCCCGCCCCGGCCTCAGCAGGGCCCTGCTGTCCCGGCCCTGGGGCTTCCCTCCCACCTCAGATCTGCAAGGGAGGCTCTGCCGGGGAGAAGCAGGTAGTGGGGTCTGGACGCGTCCTTCCCTCCCTGGACCTCCACCAGGACCCGAACTCTGCACCCTCCAAGCACAGCTGGTGAGGCTCCATGCCGCAGACACCCGACCCCGTCAGCCCGCTTCGGCCGCCAGGAGCGCGCGTGGTCTCACAGGCCCTCCCCCGGCGCACAAGCCAAGAACAAGCAAACTCAAAAAGCTGCCGCCACCCGCCCGGGAGGAGCCCTCGACCAGAGCTGCCCTCGCTGCTCGAGGGGTGTCCCCGGTACCTGCACTTCACCCCTACGCTGCCTGCCGCCCTCCCCGCAGTGACAATCAGATGTGCAGGGCCTGCAGGGAGCAGGAGGCTGGGGAGCCGGCCTCCAGAGCCCCACCCAGCGGGTGTCAGCAAAACCCAGGGAGGCGCATGAAGGGGCCTCCAGTGGGGGCTGCTCGAAGCAGGACGTGGCATGGCATGGGTCATGCTCTGGCCGGGGCTCCCAGCCCCACTTCCAAACCCCTCTAGTCCCCAAGCAGCCTGACCTCAGCCCCTGCCCCAAACCAGCCTGCAGCCGGAAACGCCCTGAACGCGGATGCTCTGGACATGCAGGACAGCCTGCCAGAGTCCAAGCAGGCCTCGTCCCGGGCAGCCCACACCCCATCTCCCTCTCTGGGGATCCCGCAAGCACCGACCCCCAAAGCACAAGCAGCAGCACAAAGTCGCAGGGAGAGGGTGGCGGGGCCGGCGGGCCTGGTGGAGCAGGGTCCGGAGCATGCACAGATGCAGGGGGGCAGCATGCAGCGCCCCACCCTCCAGGCCCAGCATGCGCGGAGGTGAGCCCCACATGGGCACAGCACAGCTGCCTCCGCCTTGCTGGGCCATGCTGGCCGGGAGGGAGGGGCCCCCAGCGCAGGCCTGCAGACAGGGGACACCGGGGCAGGGAGGTGCAGGTCACGGTGCAGGCCAGGAGCCCACAGTGCAAAGCGGGCGGCTCCTCCCCCGGCCTGTTTCCACCCGCCCTCAGGCCTGTTGTAGGAAGAGGAAGCCGAGGGCCTCTGGGGTTCTGGGGCTTCGATGCATCAAGACCCTGAGAAGCCCGGCACACACAGATGGAGCTGCCCCGCACAGGCGAGGCAGCCGGGGAGGCTCAGTCGCCCTCAGGTGCACAGCAGAGGTGCTAGAGTGGCAGCCCTAGGGAAACGTTCCCTGAAGAGCAGTCGGGGACCCCAGGAGGCACGAACGCCTTGCTGGGTTCACAGCCCTGGCTGGCCCCTCCAGCTGTGCGCAGGGCGTCGCCTGGCGGGGTGGCAAGAATCACCTTCACCCAGCTCCGTCCTGCGCGCAGCTGCGGCTGGAATAGAGGGAGCCAGGCCCGCACCGCAAGGTCGGTGGGTCGGAACTGGGGTTGGGGCGCCAGCCTCCCCTGGCTGCTCCAGAGCCTTTAGTAAGCGGGGCAGGCAGAGGAGCCGTGCAGCAGCGGTCAGTCCGTGAGGCGCGTTCCGCGGTACCTAGAGCGTCCGGGGCAGCATCCACACAGGGACCCTCTGCACGGGCTGCCTTTACTGGAAATGAGGAGAGCACAGTTAGTCCTGGGCGCCAGCAACAGCACATGGCCGGGAGCGGGGAAACTGAGGCACCGCAACCGCCCAGGGTGTCGGGCGCATCCCCAGCGGCAGAGCTTGCGCCCAAGCAAGGCCAGCGAGCAAGCCGCACCACCGTCTCTATGATCCGGAGAAGAAAACACTTCCCTATTTTTAAAGGAAAAAAATCCTGGTTTTTTTTTTTTTTTCCTCGAAAAATACCTTTTCCTCCCAAAGCCACAGTTTGGGTCCACATCTTAAAAGCTGTATTATTTTTTGCAGTATTCATGCCAACAAAACAATAATACACGGCCTCAGGGTTGCAGAAGGCGCTAGGCAGGACGCGGCCCGGGAAGGGGTGGGGTGAGCGCGCACGTCTGAGGGAGGAAAGTGGGCAGTTGTCCCGCCTTGCAGACCACTTGGTGACACTGCCCTGCCAGCCAGGCCCCCAGCCGGAGGTGCGTCTCGGTTCACCCGGGAGGCGTGGCTGCCGCTGCTGGGAACTGGAGGGGCTCAGGGCACCTGGGGGCTCAAGGCTCCCTGAGGACGGCCGCATCAGGGCTCAGTGGATCCCCTCAGTGTGAATTCCTTCACCGCACCCTCGCGGTTCCCCACCGGGGTGCTCCTTAGAAAAGGCTCAGAAAACATGGAACACTTTCCCGAGAATCTCCCGGAAAGCCCTGGTGGTTTATCTCTGCATCGCAATGTGCAAATGTTTAGGCAAGAAATGGAAACCACCAAGAACCGCAGGGCCTTTCTTTCCCCGCCCAGCCGCTCGACGCGCCTTGCAGCTGCTCCCCGAGGCAGCGCTTCTCCAACGAGGTGCCCCAGGAACCCCGGCATGCTCAGAACACACAGGCTCCAGAAGAACGTGCCCAGCCCCCGTCTTCTTGCACACGCGTGCCTCTAGACGCTGGTGCTCCCTGCGACCGGCCGCCGACAGCGCTCCACGCAGCACCACAGACACGCCTAGGTCTAGTCGCGGCAGCGCTTGGCCACCGGGCAGGCTGAGGGCTCTGGACCCTTCCCCAAACCCTGCTGGCCTGCAAGACCCCAAGGGCGGGTGCCTGGCTTCCGCCCCAGGCCCTGTGCTGGTCCCACTTTTTAGTAGGCAAGTGGCTTCGGGGTCCCCAGGCCCTTCAGGATGTGGTGCACAGGCTGACTCCGATTGGTAGTTAACCATGAGCGAGAGGGTGGGAGGGGCGGGAGGGAGCCGGCACCTAGCGCCTGGCCTGAGGCTCTGGCTGCTCGCGGAAGCCTCTCTCACTGCAGCCACCCCAGGGCACCCCAGCCACAATGGCACCCAAGCCTGCCTGGCAGGCAAAGACCTGAGACTGTCATCAGCACCCCCAGGGTGCCCAAGCCCCAGCACAGAGGCCCCTGCCCAAGGGCCCCAGGGGACCATCCCCGCCCCAGGGGAAGCAGCAGGAAGGAGGCGGAGGCCTGTTCCCCAAACCTCCCGAGGGCTCCAGTTTTGACCCCAGCAGGATTGCCTTGCCCAGGAGGCTCTTCCCAGGCACAGGGCCAGGTTCTGCAACGGGACTGCCCTCCAGTGACACCAAAGTGCTGGCTGCAGCCATGCCCACCCCAGGCCCCCGAGTCTCGTGCCCATTTTAATGCACAGTGTTTTCACAGCCACTCGTGGCTGGCAGCTCCTGTCTGGGGCAGCGTGGTCTGAGGGCTGGGGAGAGCTGGGCAGAGGCACTGCCGCCACGGCCCCCCAAGACCCCCAAAGCTCTGTGGGGGGCCCGAGCAGCTGCACCTCCCCCTGGGGCCCACGGCTGGCACTGGGCTTCCTTCCCGCCTCATCAGCCACAGAGAGCTCCACACGTGGGTAAGAAAGCCAGGCAGGCAGGCAGGCCCACGGCAACCCGGAGGCCCACAGACCCTGACCGAGACCAGATAGGGCAGACATGCACCAAAACCACGCGGACACCATGCCTGAGAAGAGAGGAGCTACACGGGACATGAGGGGCAGCTGGGGTGGGGGCTCCTCCAGGCGAGGGGGCAGAAGACAGGGAGACGTGGGGCGGGCAAGGCAGCAGGAATCGGAGCCGCCATGGCCAGAGACTCCCCCCAGAGCAGCACAGCCCTGAGCCCCCAGCCAGCCTGGCTCCCCACCCCACCCCCACGTAGCCTCCTCTGACTCCGGCACAGCCCATGGGCCCTACAGGAGCCGATGCTTGCCACGTGCCTGGGTTACAAGCCAGGATGGGGGTGGGGGGTCTCAGCAGGTAGTGAGGGTCCCTGTGTCCTCACCATCTACCTGCCCAGACCAGCTGACACCAGACTCACAGGGCGGGGCCGGGCAGCAGAAGGGTGCTGGGAGCCAAGCTCCCCCTCATGCGTCGAAGAGCAGGCCCCCACAGCCAGCAGCCCAGGGATGTGGCAGGTGACAACTTCGGAACAGCCTCCCACGCACGACCCTGCACTGGCAATAGGGGGGCTGCAGCTGCCCCAGGCCAGGGGACAGAGACCCACCCTGTTACCTGGCAGGTGGCATCCCAGGATGGGCGGGGGGTCCTTGAGGGCAGAGACAGCTCTTCACTCCCACCGCACCCTAGCCAGCCTCCGGATGCCCCGACCCGGCTGCCCCACGCCCTTACCACAGGCGTCCCAGGACGAGGGCTGGGCGGGTGGGCACTGGCCCCTGGGGGAGGCGTGGGAAGCACAGGCAGGCAGGGCCCCTCGGAAATGTGGGGAAGAGACGGGGGAGGGGTGGGAGCCCAGAGGCTCCCGAGTGTCCTCACCTGGAGTTCGCTTTCAGGGCCAGCGACTCATCCCCAAAGAGGGGGCAGACGAGAGGGGCCCGGGAAGGGCAGTAACAGGGGTTAAAGCAGGTGGGGGCCGAGGGTGTCCGGATGGGGGGAGGGCGGGAGGGAGAGAGAGAAAGAGAGAAGCTGAGACGAGAAGGTGGAGCGGGTGGGCGGGGCGTCGAGGGAGGGCGCCGTCAGCCACTGAGCAGCCCCCCAGCAAGGGCGGGGTCGGGCCTCGGGGAGGGGTGGGGAAGGCTCGCGTCCACCTGCGGCAGTGCCGAGAGTCCACCCAAATCACAGCTGAGGTGCCCGTTGTGGGGGCACAGTGCCCGTCCCCCCAGCCACCCCCAGCCTCTGGGCCGGCAACAGGCGGGGGAGGCAGTGACAGGAGAATGACGTGGCCCCTCTGCAGCCGTGGCCAGCACGGCTCCGGGTCCCCTTCCGGCAGTGGCACCAGCAGAGGCCATGCTGCCGACCTGGCTTTCCCTGGGCCCTGGTGCGATCTTTTAGCCTCCCTGGGAGGATGAACAAGCCCCTGGTGGTCACCCGAGCCCCCCAGTGTCTCATCGCAGTCCAGGAGGGCTCAGGCAGGCACAGGGCAGGCGGGCATCCATCTCGGACCAGATCCAAGAGGCTGGACTTACTCTGCAACGTGTGGATGGGGCGCTGGGGGTTCCAGAGAAGCCTGGACCCCCTCACACTGACGCAGGGTGGACTGGGGCTTGGCAGACACAGAACTAACTTGTGAAATGATCCGGATTCTGTCTCCACCCTTCACCCCAGCAGAGTCCCACACGCGTCCCGTCTCCAGCCTGCCTGACCCACAGAACCTCAGGGCCCGGGAGAGGGAACCAGACTAAGCACCTGCACCCTTGGCCCACCTCGACCTTGGCAAATGGGGACAGGGGACCAGCAGAAAATCTCCACCAGCGGCGCAAGGCAGAGGATGTCCGACCCTCCCCTGGGGGACGAGGGCCCCGGACCCAGAGCAGCAGGAGCTCCAGAGGCCCCTCAGAGCTTTGACCTCGGCCATCCTCGACTGTGGCCAGCTGCGAGTCCGGGCGTGTGCCGGCAGCCGGAGGGGGTGCGCTTGCAGAAAGCCCCTGCCTCCGAGACCCTTGGGGCCGGACCTGTGGTCAGGTGGGGGATCCCACTCGAGAAGCCCCCCAGCTGCCAGATCCACAGTGCTGCAGAGTAAAACCAATTACTGGGAGGGCTGAGCAGGGAAAGTGACTTAAGGGCCCACTTCGGGTCACACAGGGAAGGACAGGCACGGCCCTTGAGGCCCTCACGCCCCCACGACAGGCTGTGCACACAGAGCAAGACCAGACAGCCCTTCACACATGGACACAGGGCGGCGGGGGCGGGGGCACTGACCTTGGCGACGGCTCCGGCGGGGGCTCCTTCCTTCAAACAGAAGCAACAGAGAGTTAGTGGCCCCCCACTCAGCATCCATGAGGGTCCCCCAGCCAGCCCAGCCCCCCACAGTCCCATGTGTCGGGGGCTACACGGGACAGGGGTCTCAGACAAGGCCGGGCAGGGGCGGAGCTGGCCCACCCACCCCAGAGAGCCCACGGCTCCAGGAATGGGCACCCCAGAGTCCACGGAGGCAGCTCCAAGAGGGAAGAGGGACCCCACGGGGGCCTCTGCTCTTCTGACCTGGGGGTCCCTTCCCTTCTCGTGAGGAACACTCATTTTAATCAGAACCACACCAATATTACTAAGGTCCCAAAAAGGACACATTTGCTGATGGAAGCCCCAGAAGGGAGTTGAATTTACAGTCAATTCTCAAGACACACTGAGCAGCTCCGACTGTCTTTTCCACGTGTACCCTAATGGGATGATTCTCTTCCTCGCGATTTTCCAGGGGTGGTTCCACTGTGCCAGTCAGCGAGCCCAGGCTTCGCACCACTGCGGCCAGCTGTCCCCGCCTCGCCCTGCAGGGAAGGCGGTCTGGACCCTACGGTGTCTCCCGTGGGGCTGTTTGTGCTGGTGACCGCAGCATGAATTGAGTGAGACAGTGGGTCGTGATTTGCTCACCCGTGGGTGTGCAGGCTGGTCCGCCGAGTTGCAGGCAGGCTCTTCGGTGCACTTCCAGATCCTTCACGTGACAGGGACCGTGTTGCCGTGGAGCATGGGGTCCCTCACCGCCTCCTGCAGCTCCCAGCAGCCCAGGAGTCCTTGGCTTCTGGCCGCACCGCCCCGTCTCTGCCTCCGTCTCTCCGCGGCGTTCTCCACGTCTGCGTGTCTCCTCCTCTGCTGTAAGGACAGCTGCCACCGGACCTAGGGCTCACCGGATGATCCAGGGTGACCTTGCTTCAAGATCCCAGGCTTGGTTACAGATGCAAGGACCTTTTTCCAAATAAGGTCACCTCTGCACACTCTGGGACATTTTGGAGACCAGCATCCAACCCGCTGTGTTCCCCCAAACCCCCAAAATTCATGTCCATCTTATGTTCAGAATACACTCACCCTTGCCAAAATCCCCGAGTCTCCACCCTCTGCAGCATGGACTCTGTGTCCAAAACCTCATCGAAATCCCATCCATTGGCTGGGCACAGTGGCTCACACCTGTAATCCCAGCACTTTGGGAGGCCGAGGCGGGTAGATCATCTAAGGTCAGGAGTTCAAGACCAGCCTGACCAACATGGTGAAACTCTGTCTCTACTAAAAATATAAAAATTAGCTGGGTGTGGTGGCGGGTGCCTGCAATCCCTGCTACTCAGGAGCCAAGGGAGGAGAATGACTTGAGCCCAGGAGGCAGAGGTTGCAGTGAGCCATGATCGCACCACTAGACTTCAGCCTGAGTGACACAGTGAGACTCGGTCTTGGGGGAAATCCCATTTGTTCAAAAAGTCCCAAATCTCATCATCTAAAGTCATGGGAATCACTGAACTCAGGTACGTGTGAGGCCGTGGCTGCGCCACGCTGGGGCTGCCATCCCTGTGCATGGACCTGTGAATCTGGAAAACAAGTCACCTGCTTAAAGCATCCAACACAGGACGGCATCCCTGCTCAAAAACGGAGAACGACAGAGGGGACGCCAGCCACCACGGTCTTCAATCCAGCGAGGCAAACGCCGCGTGGCACAGCTCTGGGGACGTGCCTCAGGGGACTCTCCGCCCCGCTGGCCTCTGCCGGAGCCTCAGGGTCATTCCCTGTTTCCTGCAGGGCAGCTTGTGCTCACAGCTAAGGGGCGCCACCGGCCTGTTTCCGGCCTGCAGACTCCCGGAAGTCCGACACCTGCCTCCCTTCACTCCACACTGTCCCTGCCAGTCTAGTTTCTGCTGGTATGAAGCTCCCCCAAACCCCGTGGGCCTCCTGAATACGTCACAGGTGTGATGGTGTTAGACACAAGGCCGCTCTGCACCTCCTTCCGGATAGCTCCGCCTCCACGCCAGGCCTCCATCTCTACACAGAGCCTCCCTCTCCACGCCGGGCCTCCATCCATCTCCACGCCGGGCCTTCATCCAGCTCCACGCCGGGCCTCCCTCTCCACGCACGGCCTCCATCTCCACACCGGGCCTCCATCTCCACACAAGGCCTCCATCCATCTCCACACCGGGCCTCCATCCATCTCCACACCGGGCCTCCACCTCCACACAGGGCCTCCATCCATCTCCACGCCGGGCCTCCCTCTCCACGCAC